AGCATAATCAACTATTATTCTTTATACCTCAACTTTCGAACATGTTTCCTCTTTAAGTCCAGGATAAATAATTTGTTACAAATGAATACCTTTCCAATTATTATTTTCTTTTATAGCTACAACAGTATACAATTTTGTTTCTAAACCTCTAACAAAAATAGGGTCAATTACATGACCAACCCTAGGAGACATATAGGCCTAAAATTTTATTGACCTTAGGCCTATGTTATTTTGAAGATACAGTTCGGATAGTGTGCCACTTTGGTTTAACCTCAAGTTTGATTTAGTTTAATCTTTATTAGTTTTAGTAAATAATTATTTCAACCATTGATCATTCCATATCATCTGCTATACCTAAAACCACAAATCATAGTTTTTCTCTCTTTTCGCTGAAACTTAAGAATTTTTGGACCACTTAAAATGGCAGTGACAACATATTATCATAACAATTATTCTATATTTAGGGATCAAATTTATCAATTTTTGTTTCCTATCATTTTTTTTTCAACTAAACCCTTAATATAAATAATGAAAAATAGCATTAATAAAATCAAATTAGCCATCCCGGGAATCTGAATTATGCAATATAATTAACATTCTCTGTTGTACAATCTACTCGTGTATAAATCAGTTAAAAGCATTTTAAAATAATATTTAAATTTTGTTTGTCTCCAAACTAAAACTGACTGATAATACCCGACTTAATTAAATTGTATATTTAGGACCTTCAACGTAGTGTAGGATATTACGTCAATGTTCGTCAAACTGTACCAATTTCTAATTTAATTAATTAATAGCTAGAGTGGTTATAAGTGTAATAAGGTTTTATTACACAAAGCAATTTATTTTTTTAGGTTTTTTTAGCTACAAATCAATTTTACAGTTGAGTCGGTATGAAGTTTTGGATTGATTTACGTTAAATATTTTAATAAATGCCATTTGTTTGTGCATTGTGCCAAATATTTTATTTCTCTATGGCTATTTTTAAACACAAAGTGAAGCCATTATTGTCCATGTTATTTTCATCTAAAGGTTAAAGCGAAAAGTTATATAACCAATATTCCAATCCAGAGATACCAGAACTATTGACTTTGGATACTGAAGTGTAGACACCACATACATATGTTTCTAGAACATATGTTGCCACTTTTTTCCCTTGCTTAGATATTTTTTGGTGAGCTCAACTGAACTAAGATCGTTATTATTACAAAACTGTATTTTTTTCCTCTATAACTTGCTACATAAGAATGGACTTTCTACTTCACTGTTTTTATAATTAACACATATTATTTTGTTATTCATTGAAAAAATATATAATGTAGCAATAGTGATTTTGTAACATACTGAACTACTTATACAGTATTGTTCATAATATTGTTTAACATCCTGTTTAATCTGTTTTAAAGTTTGCTCCCTGTATATAGAAAAGTCAACAAACTTACCAAAGCTGTATTGATTGTTTCAGCTCTCCTCAGTCAAAACGCATTCTGATGCTGGGGATCGCAGTGGAAATTCAACACCTTCAAACAAATTTCTTTTGTTACTATGCCTTATGCTTTTAGCATATTCTCCCAATGATATTTATCTATTATTTGTGTGTGCTTATTTGTAGCCTAGAACTAAATGAATGTATCTGGTAGAACGTAGTTAGTTATTAAGTAGGTAACTGGTACAATAGGTACTTAGTTTAGTTGTTAGTAGATTATTTAGTTGATAGCAATCAAACCAGACACAACCAACAAATTGACTTATGATTAATGGTTACAAACTAGAATCTCACTTATCAGAACCTCAATAATCCGAACAGTAATAGGGGGAGGGATTATAGATCACAGTACGCCTACAGTTAAAATTGTAATTTTACTGGCATACGCATCAGGGTTTGGTCACAATTAGTTCGAATTAGTGAGACTGAGAAACTACAATTAATAGGTTTCATTCATAGCATTTAGTGTAGAATACAAATAGGTAGTTGCATGTATTTGTTTTCTTATAACTTTTCATATATTCTTAACAAGGATCCTGGTCATATCATATCATTTGTCTATGCAGGACAAGAAGTGGTGTTTCGTACTCTGCGCAGTAACTCTCCCTCAGTTTCCTTACTCTGTGTACTCACCGGGAACTGCCCAGACAACAGCAGATACGGCGACAAGAGGAATGTCGGCACGGAATTCCTCGGCAAGAGAAGTGAAGTCATTGAGTACGTCAAGGTATAAACACCATTGTTTCTATTAAACTTTATTCTATCTTTTTTTCATTTTCTGTTGTTCTAAGTATTTTAGTAACAGCATCAATTCCGCAAACTACCTTTAGGCACAAATTAAAAATTAGCTTCAAAATTTTAGAAATACCTGTTTTCAAAATTTAAGAGACTAATGAAATACCCCCACCGCAGCAAACCTGCAGACTAAGCGAATTTCCATTTGCCTCGTTTGATTTTCAATTGAATCTATTCAAATAACATTAGGTTTAACGAGTACCTAGGTTTGCTGCCTACAGGGAGGGCAATAAAGTGTTTTTTTAGTCAAATATTAATAGCTTAGTATAAAATAAATGGATTTTCCAGGTTTGACCCAAATATCCATAAAAAAACAAACTACGAGAGTTAACTTATTCTCCATAAGAACAACATGGGAGTTTTTAATTTACAATTTTCTCCGTAACCAATAATCATACAGAAACACTTCAATATACTAAATTATTTGTTTTTTTTCGAGGGTCAAAAAATCCCAATTTTTACCACATAAATCCCCCATAAAACCCCGTTCCCATGGTCCGATCATGCTGGTTCGCAAACTCGTTCGAATAAACGTAGGTTTACACGTTTGTACAACATTTGGCCCTAACTTTGCCTGAAAAAATAAAGGATTTTTCATTTCATTTTTTCATTTCATTTCATTTCATTTCAACATTTCATCTTTTTTGCTCGAGTTATCGTGCTAATGGACACACATATGAATTTAGACGGATTGTTTTTGGCTTCTAGGGACATTAAAATGAAAAATTATATCGGTCCTGGGTCAAAGTCTTACTATGTCAGCTGCGGTAATAGCTTATTCCCTATATGGTAAATTCGCTAAAATGTTGATTCTTTGACAAATCGTTTACGCATTTTGAGTCTATGCAAGGCACACACCTTCATTTGTATGTAGGCCTATTTATTTTTTTCTTGTTTTCAGAACACGCCGGGCTGTGACTGGTGCGACAAGTGGCGGAAAGGGAGCTTCAGTGGAGCTTAATCTAATCTTTTAAAAGTGTATTTTTTTTATTATTATCTAGAGGATAAATGTTCAAACCCAATCAGAATGTATCATTAAAACATTTTAGTTTAGAAATGTATTTTCTATGTGTAGTTTATACATAAACTATCTTAAATAAACGAGTTTTACACACAGTTTTTTTTTTCTTTGCTTTGTGATGGTGAGGATCAGGGGTTGGAAAGAAAACATTGCTGAAGAAGGCTCAACCATCGGTTATGCGGCGGTTAATTATTTATATTTTCGTCAGTTGAAAATCGCTTCGTCCAAGGCAGTGTTGCGAGGCTATACTGGCAAAGACAAAAAGGTAGGTTTACTAAGGATGAAGTAAAACTACTCTCGTTTTCAGTGATTATTTAAATTTTGCTGTCAGTCAGGAAGATTGGTCTGACTATTGCAAGTTTTGGGGAGTAAGGAAAATAACCAGAATAAAAAGGAGAAATTGATAAGGTGGCTGATGGGTTCTGCCAAAGTCAGTATATTTTTCTTTAAGATTTTAACTGATCAACTCTAGCTATTTTTTTCATCAATTCTAGCTATGTTTTTGTTTTTCAGACTTGCTTATTATTTCCTTTGGCTGTTAAGCTACGGTTGTTTTACATGTATTTACTGATTTTGAGTCATTCTGCTTTAAAAAGTATTATAGTAAATAGTAAATGTATGGAAATGATTATGGGTCGTGAGTCAGTTCACAATTAATTTCTCCAATAAACACCTAGTTAATTATTCTTTGTTGGCCTTCTGCTTAGTAACTTTGCCAAATCACTTTTGATTTTTGTTATCGGCTGACTAGATTCGGTGTAGTTTCTTATCTAATTTCTCGTCTTTTATAATTGCACGATAGCGATATTTCAACCTTCTGTAATTTTCACTCATGAAATGAGTTGATTCTAGGCCTTTTATCTTTGGTAAAGGTTGCACAATTTATTCTTGGTTCAGCTCCATTATTGGATGCCTTTTACTATGCAACAATCAACATTATTCTTTTCTTGGTGAGAAACAAAACCGTGGCTAGTTCACAAATTCCCACAACCATCAGCTCACCTCACACTCACACTCTAAGGCTTGGCATTTCGTATTGGACCGGCCTCATATACCCACTCCGCCCCCTTTCAAATTGAATCTACAGGTTTTGCACATAATAACCACAGATAAAACAAGCAGTATGTTGATGATATGAGTATGTCTATGATATAACATCCGGCCTTCCAGTCTTGTAGCTGACTTTCTTAAAGAGTGGGTTCTGTAAAACAGGTGAAATAATCAGGGCTCTCTTCTTTTAGAAAGATTTATGTTTATTCCTTACTTACTGCATCTATGACCACCACTGAGCTAGAGCTCAGTATGGTTAGTTTTCTTCTTTGCCTGAAGTGGCGTGAACGAAATGATATCCACAAAATAAAAATAAAGAGCTCGTGGAAAGTGGATAAACCAGTACTGCCAGTATTTACTGTTTTAACTGGTGAAAAGGAACAAACAAATAAGGGAATATGGCTAATTAATGTTTTAACTCAAAAGTGTTTAATGTATTTGACCAATGCCATAGCAAATGCCACAAGCGTAAATGCCAGATAAGAAAGTAATGATAGTTAGTGTACCTATATTCAATGGTACAGGTAGGACTTAAGGAAAATCAGATATTTTCAGTGGTGGCAGCACTGATATAGCAAATCGTTGCAGACAGAAATAGATAGAACATCAGATCAGCTGATATTTTTTTTATTTGTGTGTAATCAAAAATCAACTGGGCCGAGACGACCAAAAAGCTTTGTAATTTTATTTTGTTTAGCCTAGTCGGTCTTTCAAATAAATGATTACATAAGTCAAGAAGTTTGCAATGTAAGCGTGGTTTTATGTTGCGCATCGTCTCTTGTATTGATCAGTGCTGTTGAAATAATTTTAACTCAAGATAAGTCTTTTAAATTTAGTGCTGTGAATTTGTGATAACCAAGTCCTTTGTTTACAAATGAGTAGATCTAGTTCACGCGAAGGGTCCATAGGCTATCAGTCCACTAGTTCTTCAAGAGATCCCATATGGACAAGAGTGGCAAATGATCCAGCAGGGGACAGAACATCTTATGGAGAATCTATTGTAAGTTATAAATAAGCTAATCCGTTCAACTCCTTGCCTAAACCTTCCTGTTACTGTTACATAACCATGTCCTGTTACTGTTATCAAAGCAACTTTTAGGGTTTAATTATTCGTTTGTAAGTTATAATGTATTGCAAATAACAGGTCCTTAACCTCAATGTAAGTTAGGGCCTACAATGGCCAAAGGGTGTGATTGACCACTATTTTGGACAAATCAAAAACCTAACCTCAAACGTTGCCAAAGAAGGCCCCCTAAGCCATGGTGTCCAAGTACTCAGTGGTGGAGTCGTAAAATGTCCTGTCTGGAAACGCTCATTTTTGTATTTTAACATATAGGCCTAAGTTAGAAATAATTTATATCACTATTAGAAAGAGCAGAGTGTGAACGTCTTTCGATGTGTTCCTACGCCACTACAACACTGCAAGTGCTAATTCATTGAGGCCTAACCCATGTCTTAATTATAAACAATAGTCTTTATCAATCAAATGTAGTTGGACCCTTTGAAAATTAGTAGGCCTAGGTAGTCATGCTATATAACCAGGGTTGCCACCCGTCCCAATTCTGTTCGGGACAGTTCTGATTTCGGTCCATTGTGCCGATGTTAATTCGGCGGGAGGGGGGGGGAGGTTCCCGATTTTCCCCCATACCAAAGGTGGCAACCCTGAATATTTAACATCTAATTTACTTTTTTATTTCCTCTCAACGGTTACACCATTTTACGGCAAATCATGATAGTTGATATTAAAGTTTCTATTAGTTCACATTAAGTACTAAAACAACCAATAAATATACAATAAATATAATAAATAATATAACAATAACATATGTATAAAGAGATTTGAACGCAATAACTTAACAATAATAAATAGCAACAATTTTGACAAGATCTAATTAGTAGCTCTAGGAATTGAAATCTTAGATCCTCAGGATGTAGGCTAAGTTATACCTATCCTAAGGTTGCTGGTTCAATTCCAATCAAGATTGTTTCTAGACCCAGATACCATTTGTCAACAGGCTATCAATTATTGATTCTAAGTTTGGCGCAGACCTAACAAAAAGGGTGACGTAGGTATTGTACAGAGGCCACCCTTATACAGTGTGCGGCGGTTATGTTAGGTTGGGTTATCATAAATAGAAAGTATGACTCATCTGGTATCGTTCGAGTCATAACAAAACGAGGAAATTCCTGCAAACATATTTTATGATAACCCAACCTAACATAACCGCTGCAGCGTGCTGTAAAATATGTGGCCTCCGTATAACACCAAAGTACTATTCATAATTTTTTTCTCTTTACTTGACTTAGACATTGACCCTTTCTTGCTTTCTTCCTCCAGATGCTCATGAACTTATTTAATTATTATGGCGGCAAACACCATTTTTACAATAAATTTTACATTTTGATACATATGCAACAAGATTTTTTACATGCTGTTGAATATTGTGCAGCTACATACAATGATAGATGCAAAGATGAATTTTACAATGAAAATAACATGCAGTTATTATAACAATGAAGAATTAATAGTTGGATTAAATAAAAATTGTTTGGCGATAGGATATAAATAGACTATAACTAGGTAACAATAATAATTGGCAATAACTCAAAGAATATTAGGCTACACAAGCTTAAATCCTAAACTATTAAAAACGTTAAAATAGCAACTTTAACAGTTATACACTCTATTATAACTTAACACTAACTTACTTCACTGAGCTTCACTTTTAAGAATGGAAGCATAGGCCTATTATAATAAACAATAAGATAATTAATTTAGTCTATAAACACTGCCTCAATCATTAAATTAAATTCCTTGGGTACTTATAAAATCATACAGAGTTGAAACAACTTATAACTCGTTGACCTAAAGGCCTAATTTCTAAACCAAAACTGGGTTCAAGTGTTTATAAAACTTCCATTCGAGTCAAGTGTTATGTTGGAATTGTTGCCATGTAACCATGAATCACGGGTCCAGACTTATGTATGTAGCCTTGACAAATGATAAGAGCACATCTGGGACTCCTTATCACTCCTTTGTGTTAGGTTGGCAGTTGACCAGTGTGCAAGTACAAAAATGTCACAAAACAGTTTAAATACTTCTAGGTCAAGCTCTTCTTCTTCTGACGATGTGCAAGGGACTGTGAGTAATATTGTATTTAGCCTTTAATGAAAAGATCAACTATAAACACATTTTTACATTTTTAATTCTGTTGCCCGTCAAGTAAATGAGGAAAGAATTGTTTTGTCATATGTTCTAGGGGTTTTTGATCCACTGTTAAGGGTATCTGTGCTTGAATATATGTTTCCATGTTTAGACCATTACATAATGGATGTTATTGTGATGTATTTTGATGTTTGTCATCAAGGTTAAACATATTACCTAAGTCTGGATCCGTGATTCATGGTTATATATGGCAACAATTCCAAAATAGCACTTGACTTATGGAAGTTTTTCACTTAGATGAATTGTTTGATTTAGCAAAATTATGTACTATCCTAATAAAGAAATAGGCCTATAATCAACCCTATCACAAATTATCAATGAGAGTACGTACTTTGGCTATGGCATGATATATTTTTTAAAGCAATTAGTAATTCTAATACAGTAGAACACCTCAATTATTCAAGGTGCACTTTGAAATCCCCTTAAAAAACTAAAGTGACCTCTATAAAATTATCAACTCTATCGAAACAACCTCAATAGCACGCCTTTTCACAATTCAAAATGTAAGCCTGACTTGAACCTCTGTAAAAAGTCGTTTGAGAAATCAATCTTGATACAACTTTATACATAACAGTATTGAACATCGAGCAGTTCCCAAAAGAATTCACTAGAACGGATGTTTAGGAGAATTAAGAAACATAATTTTTAAGACTGAGGTACAAGAATGTAAGTCTAGGCTTGAAACCCCCACTCCACTCCCCTTCATTACACTAAATTTAAAAGCTAGGGTTTTTAGCGAACACCTTATTTTGTAACCTATTTGAAGCTTTGTTACACAATACTAATAGTACAAATAATAATTTGAAAATAAACTTTTTGTTTGCATAAGAGTTGAAATGACATTGATAAGAACCATCATCAAGAACATCTCAATAACAAAACTGTCCCTCTAATCCCCTTACGACACTGAGAAGACACAAGTTATTGAAGTTCTACTTTGTATCGATATATTTATTGTTTGAAGAAGAGGACAGAGAAATGTCATTTGTAGCTCGCAAAATATGAAACGTAACTTGTTCTTGGATTTAGTTTCAACTGTTAAAATGTATGTTTTCTTTCTTTTTTCAAATCCACTGAAAATCTTAAGGTAGGCCTAATATAATTTTTAAATCAATGACCCAATAAACCAACAATGTTCTCGAATGCAAAAGTTTTATCTGTTATTTGAAGAGAATATATTTATTTCAGGAAGCCCTTCCTCCTGAAAAACGTGAAATATCAACAGGACCAGATGGTGGTCTCAATGTCATTTCCGCCGCAATCTTTGTGGCAGGTGAGATGGCAGGGAGTGGTATCCTGGCCGTACCAAAGGCTGCTGTGGACTGCGGTAAGTATTTAAAACTTGTGTTGACAATCGAATCAGCCAACTTCAGAATTTCTTCTCAATTCTAGTTAATTTCAACAGCAGTTTAAAGATAATCAAGGGTTTTTTAAATAAATTGATTTGAGTGTTGTCTTTTAATTTACTGTAAAAACGTATAATAGTACATACATATTTTAAACATTCAAACTGTAGTGATTTAATTGTTAAAAATGTCACTTCTAGGCTACATAGTTTTACCAAAAATTTTGATTAATTGGTTTGCAGTGTTATTTGTATTTACAAAGTTTATAAAACTCCTGCTGAACTATTTATTTTATTGTTACCGGTACCGTTTTTATTGTTTTTTTTATCATATGGATCTGTTGATGTCGGAACGAGGACAGCAGTGTTTTCGTGTGTGGCCGTTTTGGTATGTGTGTGTGTTTATGAGTGTGTGTGCGTATTTGGAAGCAGGTTACTTATTTTTTGGGGAAGGGTGGTGGGAGGGGGAGGTGTCTATCAGTTGTCAAGTATTATCAAGTCAGCCACTTATCATTAAGTCCTCCAGCATAACTTTCTACCTACAAAGCCGTTTTAAAATATTTTTTTTTCACCCCTTAATTAAATATATATATATATATATAACAACTCTCTTCCACACACCAGAGTATTTTTTCCTTTGTGGAAGATAATTTCGCTTATTGAAATTTAAAAAGCTTTTGTAGAAAATGTTTAATACTATCTACCGGTACAAAACTAAATATTGTAAACATTTTATAAATAATGTAATTTTTAAAACAAAAATATGTGAAATAAATGATATTTTGATTTTATTTTATATTTCCCAGCAGATGAGGTGTAGTTGTCTTCAACTGATCCATAAGGGTTAGGCTTTATTATTGACTATTGGATACAGAAGTAGACACCTATATGGACCAGCTTTGGCCAATTTTATTATGCTTAAATATTTGGATATATGTGTCATCACTTTATACATAGGGGCACTGAAAAACTCACTGGGAATGAGAAAAAAGAAGATGTATAGTGTTAAAAGTGTTCAAAAAATTGATTAAACCAAAAGATAATATTGAAATTTAAATATTTGCATTATTATTTTTGAAAAGTCATAAAACTCATCAAGACTTTCAAAATGTGGAGTAATGAAGGCCTAGCATGATGTGTTGTCTGTGCTTGATCATTACTGATGAGCACTAACAATCAGCAATGGCTGAACAAATATCCAGGTCATATTGTACAGCTGTGGTCAATGACCTTCAGGGTGTAACTATGCATTGTATTGTGCCTTATCAACAAACTTAAATATTAGGCCTAGTGACAAAGTGGGAATTGTTTACTTTGCTTTTCAAACAATAGTGATTTGTTGCATAACAATACAATCGTAAGACTTCTGTACCTTTCCGGAAATTCAGTTTTAGTTTATTTCCTAGATAGAATTTGAGTTTGCAGCTGAGCGAAAATCGGTTCGGTTTTACCCTCGACTATTAAAGGTTTTACTGACTTAAGTTAGGTCACGAATAATTTTGAAATAACTATGTACAGGAATCACTTTAGATAAGTCAAATTAGACTAGAAATTTGTGGTGATAATTTAATGGGAAATTGATAAAGAGTATTGAAAATACTTTATTTAAAACACAGATTGTTATTTATAAAGAATTCTAACGCATTTCAATCTACACTCATCTTTCACTCACATTTCGGTTAAATACACACATAGGTGGCGTCCCCATCTCATTGAATTGATAATTGATAATCATTATTGAGGCAGAGATGCAATTAACTTTGATGATTAAATGCAACCAGAGCTGGTGGTTTGTTAGCATTTGCATCAATGTCAATATAAAAACTCTTTAAATGAAGCAAAGCTAGAAAACAATGCTAAATACATAGAAGAAAGTAATAACAGATGTAAAGCCGCATGGGAGGTAATAAAGAATAACTGTGAAATAAAAAACACAGCTGATTTGCAAATTGAGCCAAATACTTTCAATAGGTTTTTTGTTGACAGTGTAGACAAGATCAAACAAATTATTAAAATTCCAGGTATAATCACTTCTTGTAATGATTTTTTGAAAAAATATGAAATTGATAGTTGTAATAAATTTTGTTGGTCAGCCATCACACCTAGTGATATTCTTAGTGCCACTAAAAGGATGAAAAGATCAGCTAGTGTGGATGTGTACAATATGTCAAACAATCTGTTAAAAGTTATTATTGACTGTTTGGCTAACCCCTTGGCAATATGCATAAATAACCTTTTATCAGAAGGGGTTTTTCCTGACTTGCTCAAAGTCTCTCGAGTCTGTCCTATTTACAAAAAAGGTCCTAAAGACCAACCTCAGAGCTACAGACCAGTTTCAATTATACCTGTGTTGGGAAAACTAATAGAAATACTTATTTACGATCAAATCAGAAATTATTTTGAAAAAAACAACATCTTGAACAACAACCAATACGGTTTTAGAAAGGGAAAATCCACTATCAATGCATTGGACGATCTAGTCAGGCAAGTTCATCTCTCTTTTGAAAATAAAACTTATGCTCAGGCCACCTTCTGTGACCTCAGTAAAGCTTTTGACTCTGTTGACAGTAATATTCTCATCTCTAAATTACAGTACTATGGATTTGATGGCCCTCCATTATCTTTTTTAAGAAGCTACTTGCAAAATCGGAAACAAGCAGTTTGTATAAAAGGAAGATGGTCAGATGAAGTGTCAGTCGAGTGGGGAGTGCCACAGGGTTCAGTCCTTGGTCCCCTTCTTTTCTTAATCTATATAAATGATCTACCCTCTTCTGTTGATTGTAAAACCATTCTGTACGCAGATGACTCTACATTTTTATCTACTAGTAAAAACTATAAAGAACTTGAAAAATTGGCTGATGAAACATTAAATAATGCACAAAATTGGTTTCATAGTAATGGACTTTTGCTTAACAAAGAAAAATCACAAAAATTGTTATTTTCCTTAAATTATAATTCAAGAGAGTTTTTTGAGAACAGTGATAAGGGTAGTAAAGTTTTTTCAGCAAAGTTTTTGGGAATATATGTAGATAGTCAGCTAACTTGGGATTCTCATATAGACTATTTAAATACCAGACTTTCTCGTGTAATATTTTTACTAGGTCGTCTGAAAAAATGCATTCCATTAAATTATGTCCGAACAGCATATTTTTCATATTTTCAATCCATTTTCAGGTATGGGCTAATTTTTTGGGGCAATTGTGCTAGGGTAGAGGAAATTCTTGTTTGGCAAAAGAAAGCGGTTAGAGTTATCTCTAATAAAGGCTCAAGAGACCACAGCAAACCACTTTTTAGAAATCTTCAAATCCCTACTATTATTAACGTTTATATTTATGACTTAATAGTTTATATCTTGGAAAATCAACATCTTTTAAAATTTAGAAACCATACTCATGATCATAATACCAGAAATAAGAACCACACCACAATAGAATTCCATCGTTTAAGTAAAACTCTAAATAGTCACATAGTTTTGTCACTTAAAGTGTACAACTTTCTTGAATCCATAATTAAATTACACAATATAAAGGATTTCAAAAGTAAATTTTATTGTTGGCTGACCAATAACCCATTTTATAGTTTGGAAGATTTTTTTAAGAATAAGATTCTTCAGTTGTAATTATTCATTTAGAATATGTATTATAATATGTCTCCCTTTGTTAAGTTAGCTATAAGTATTTTATTAATTAATTACCTGACTATGCTATAATTTTAGCTGTATCTTGACATTGTCGATGATTTGTACAAATTCAAAAGACAATAAAGCATATTTCATTTCATTTCATTTCATTTCATTTCATTCATTTCATTTCATTTCATTGAGTGGAGAAATCACTGATTTGAAAGGTAAATTCATCAGCGTCGTCTTTTACTTCATTTAATTTTCAAAGATACATTTTGTATACTGTTTGTAAGCAAATAAAATATTTTAAAATGTTAACATCATAAATGTTACGAGCTATATTTTTAGATTTACTTTTTATAAACTAAATAATTATTCGTGGTTTCTCTTTGCACTAATTGCTGCTGTTCAAAATCTCTAATTATGTGTGCTAACTTTGACCTCTCGTGGACTGCTACTTATCACTAATTAATGACATCATAACAAATCAGCTGATGTGCATGGAACCTTGTATCTGACATAATGTGCTCTATCTCTAAGGCTATGATGCAGTTTATTGTGACCTTGTAACTCATTTAGATTATTCTTGTCATTATAATGGATCTAGGGAATTTAGTCAGTTTGTCGGAAAAATTACCATCCGTTTCTTCCAGTCACCAATGTATCATATCTTATTTTACAGTTCATTACGAATATTTGAACCGACTAACGGTTTAAACATTTGTAAGCCTACCGGATCCAATAAATCCCTTTTGTTGTCAACCTGTGAGATCAGAACCAAGAGAAAAGTATGTCAGTTTCTTGAGAAGTATCATAATTTTACGAAAAAGTTAGTTATCCTTCACAAATTATCCAAGTTTGCATTAACATATTTTTTAACTATACCGGTACGTAAAATATTTTATACTTTTATTTTGACCACCACTATTTGTGCAAGAATTTAAAGTAACTCAATGTAAATGATTTGAGAATAATCCTGGAACTGATGCAGGCATTCACATACCATTGAACAAATACCCAGAATGCCTAAACGCAAAACAATGAAATTATAGTTCATCTAAGTTTACATAGCCTTAATTAGCAATCTACAGTTATTTGACTTTATTGAGCACGAGTTCTGAGAAATTGCTCACTAGTTCTATGTGTTGTAACTAAGCACCGTAGTGAGAACGTCTAGACAACCCCTTACTGACTGTCTGTATTCAGTACATACATGTAGATGAAGATTGATTTATCTGATATGTTACTGATACATTAGTGGGGTTATTCCTTTGTCAGCATTTTATTGCTTTATCATAATAGGTTAAAAATAGAAAATTGTTAGTTGCAATGTAAGTGAAATCCTTGAATAGGTTTTACAACTTTGAAATTTAATTTGTTTGAGTCATAAGTTTTTGCTATTGTCTTTTTAAAAAAAACCTTTTTTGTGTTAACCTTCTTCCTTTTCTCTTTTACAAACTTGCAGTGCTGGTTTTGATAAGATAATTAAAACTCTATTTTAGTTGACAAACCTATCTACTAATGCATTGATGGTTGTGTTGTAGGATGGATAGGTCTGGTGCTGGTGGTGGTGTTCTGTGTCAACGCTGCCTACGGAGGCACCAGACTAGGTCACTGCTGGGCCATTCTAGAAGAAAGATACCCAGAGTACCGAGGACAAACTCGCAACCCCTACCCGACCATAGCCTACCGCGCTGTAGGACCATGGGGCAGGTAATGATCCGTTGATAATGAAGTCAGTGGTACAGTTCGGCCAAAGTTTCTGTGCGCGCGACCAGATCTGGTTGGGTCTAGGCGAGGGGGTTGGTGGGGTACTTTTGTGAAAACATTTGTGTCTTGCTACTCACTCACCCCTACCCCCAGCACTGCCAATAGCCAGTACCCGTATGTTTTAGTTCGGCTAGTAGCGACCCGTCCACGCGCACAGAAGTTTTGGCCAAACTGTACTTCTTTTCTTGATCAAAGTAAATTTTTAAGTGACAACTATATTTATTATATAAACTATATAGGCTGAGTCAGTGGCGGTTAGCCCATAAGGACTCTCGGACGCCGCCCTCCCAACAATACATAAATAAATTTCATTTTATTATTCTTCAGTTAAATTAAATCAAATTAAAAGTAATTTAACGAGCAGGCCTACTTAAAAAAATATACAGTATAAATATAGGCCTATCAACTAATTGGATAATTCAATTCAGTAGCCTAATGACTTATTTTTGATCCTCGCTTGCTTAGTAAGGACGTCGGCCAGGCCGTCCCAATCCCAATACATCTAGTCTCATGGCAGAACAACCGAACAGCGCTGAGGCTGTCATGACGTCATTCCAATGCTTTAGAATGGGCGCTTTGGGGCAGAGTCCAAAGTTGTGCGCACACTCTTAAATCAGGGCAGCCACCACAATCTGGATATTCTGTATGGCAAGCTCAAACCATCTAATTTCTAAAACTAGAAAACAACTGAGCTAACCTAAAACTGTTATTTTGGTGCTGTTTAGTGATTAATGAATAGTGATGTCAGAGGACCGCTCGTGCGTGTATAAGTAAAATACTAACTGTATTCTTTTATTAAATTGATTTCACATCCAGTTTATTTAAAGGTAGGCCCTGTATTTCTGGTTGATTAATAAGTTGCAGTTTCATTTAGACCTACATTTAACAGATAGGTATTTTCCAGTATGCTGGTTTCTGGCTGTCTACAGTTTACTCTGTTCGGAGCCGCCATTGTGTATCTGTTGATGGCTGCAGAGATAGTTCAAGAGTTACTGCAAGATCTCATCCCCCAGGTATTACTTTTTTAAAGTAATAAGGGTTGTGTTAGTAATAAATTAAATGGATAGGCTATTCGTCACGATCCACAAGTGTTTAGCTCTCACTTCAGATTTTATTTTCATTCATCCTCATAAAAAATGGGCAGAATCTTCATTGGTATAGATATGATTTAGTCTTTATCCACTGTACGAAACTAATACATAATTTCTTTCTACAGCACATGGGTTATTCTGAATGCAATTCTGTTGTAAAAACAATTAGGCCCTACCCAGACTTGAAACTTAATCATATACTATTGGCATTAAGAAATGCAAAGCTTGTTTCAAGTGTGTATTTTAGAGAATTATGTAGTTACTAGCAGAGTGCCCGTCCTTCGTACGGGATTGGCATATAAGTATATAAAATATAAAAGGCAAAGCCCTCACTGACACACTCACTCACTCACTCATCACTAATTCTCCCACTTCCCATTTACCTAGGAGGCTGAAATTTGGTACATTGATTCTTTAGGCATTAAATAAAAAAACTAAGTTATTTTTATTCTGATCGGACTCTCGGGCTCCGCCCCAGTGGCTCTGGAGTTTTCCATGTTAACCTTATGATTTTTCATATTTAAAAGGAATTAATGAATCTTAACAGCTGTTTCAATTAAACAAGTTGGACCTTATTTTTTTTTTTATTTATGACAAGAGCTAATTTGCAACTAAAAGGTGAGTGAGCGTAGCGAACGAACTTCATATAAGTATAAAATGCTTAGTACAGTTATACTCAACCTTTGCGTTTGCAATGGGGGAGGACACAGTATGATAAAATTTGCTCCTTTATTTTTACGGTATGCTATAGTATTACACATCTACCATAGCTATAATGTTCTACCACTTCACCCAAACAATAGAAAAAAATAATTATTAAAGATTCACAAAATATCACAAATTATTCGTGAAATTAAAAACATAAACAAAACTGTAAACAGACGGTTCTCCATTGCGTATCACTGTTTTTTGTTGCTGCTTAGTTCAAATTAGTTGTTTTCATAAATGAAAAAAATAATAGTGCTGCACCCTGTAGGTAAATCTTATAACTTGTAATGCTTTTGCATACCACAGAATCTACCTTTTTAGTTGCAACAGCTGACTAAATTCTTTAATTCCATTTAAATATGAGTACTCATAAGGTTAACATCGGAAACTCCAGAGCCACTGGGGCGGAGCCTGAAAGGATTTTTGAGATAATAATATGCCTATGTTAATCGGGAATGTAAGCTATCATCATGCCAAATTTCAGCCCAATCCGTCCAGTGATTAATGTGTGATTGAACTTCAAACAAACAAACACACAAACTTTCACATTTATAATATTAGTAAGATTATCTATTTAATATTGATATTACTAAATGTTTTACAAATTAAAGATCTGATTGTTTTGAACCAAGGCCTCACTAAAAAAACAGGCCGTAATGCTCGTCAAGCATGACGTCACGATAGAAGACGGCAATGACATAATGTTTAATATTTTTGTGACAAAGGGTATTTATTTATTTTCCAAGGAAAGATTAAAACAAGCAGCTGTCACAAACGACAAACTACGTCATTGCCGTCTTCTATCGTGACGTCATGCTTGACGAGCATTACGGCCTGTTTTTTTAGTGTGGCCTTGTTTGAACTTGAATGTCAGCTGAAAAAAATACATTCGAGATATTGTGAACTTTAGAAGATTACTTTTTCATCTAAAATGTAATGTAATTTACTGTAATTTTTCACATACATAAACTTGAGACTTCAAACTGATGTAGAGATTTAACATATTCCAATGAATGTTCCAGGTAAACTACTGCATCTGGTTTCTCTTGTTTGCCATTCTGATAACTCCACCCATGTGGCTGGGGTCTCCAAAAGACTTCTGGTGAGTTAACCTTCATTTACTACACTGGGTTCATATATTTCAGTTTTCTTCATGTTCTGTTTTCTTAATCAGATTAAGTAATTCAATCAAGATTTTTTACCTACTGAAAAATCTTACTTTGGTTCCTTTAAATTGTCTGTAAATAGTGAAGAAGGGAACAGGATTATCTTATATCAAAATCTTCATTGATGGCATATACTAAATCTTATTATTCTATCCTGATGTTTGCATGCATGTTTAAGTTATCATTAAGATTACTGTTATTTAGTCATTGATAACCACATTAGATAGCGGGGATTTACATTTTCCTGGCATGCTGAGTGGAATTGAATGAAACACATACTTCTAGCTATCATATAGCCTGCTAATGAAGTCCCTGGACTGACTATTTGCATAGGATATAGTACGCAGTGAATTTTGTTTTGTCTGCACCAAACATAACTCCAAGTGTAATCACTGCAGGATCGTCGGAGTAGGTGCGTTGCTGACTACGGCAATCTCGTGTGTTCTTCTCTTCACACAGATCGTGATGGACGGACTTCGCCGCACAGAGCCAGTGCCTCATAAGCCGCACTCCTTTCACGAGTTCTTCTTCTCCTTCGGCACTATATTGTTCGCCTATGGTGGGGCGTCCACTTTCCCTACCATTCAGAACGACATGGTCCGACGGGACAAGTTCTCTGTGAGCGCAGTCATCGGATTTATCGGTGAGTTGCAATTATCGGTTTTGGATATTCAAAATAGTTCTGACCAAGTCTTTTGTGCTTGGTAGTTATGATGATTACTCGATAACCAAAACTTGTCAACTAATTGAAGTGAAATTGTGGATAGACATTCTTATCATAAAATGATACTGCACCATGTACACCTCGGTGGGGCACACGGGAGGGACTAAAGCTAACATATCTTGTAGTGTCAGCGTTCGCCGCTAGAACCGCTAAGTTGAAAACATTTAATTTTTTATTTTATTTTTACTTATAAAATTAATTTTTTAATTATAAAATATTGTATTTAAATTATAAAATATTTTTTTTTTTTTATTAAACTGTCATAACATAACCTAACCAACCAGGCTTGCTGATAATATAAAAACTGTATAAGATAAAAATCTAATTAATGATTACTTATAATTTTTAATTAATTATAAAATTAATTTTAAAATTTAGTACCTATTATAAAATTAAACTGTCATAACCTAACCTAACCAACCAAACTTGCTGATGTGACAAATTTGTTGACAAAAAGATAGTGCTGCCAGCAGATTTCGAACCCGGGACCTCCTGAACAACAATCAGAAACACTACCAACTATGCCACGAACGCCGCTGAAATCACATTGTTTCGTTACGGTAATCGTGTTGCCTCAAGAGTAGACATTAGCCACTAGAGATATGACGTCACTACACCTTTAGCCTTATTCCATCCCGTGTGCCCATTCCATGTACACCTATCTTAGATATGAATTGTTGAGTCATCGATCAGAGGTGGATGTTAAGCAAATTCCCCATGAAGGGAATTAACTACGGTACCGTAGGTCTCATAGTAAAACCTAGACTCGTGACAGATTTTGTTTTATTTTGATGTCTCCAGAATCCAAAAACGCCATTTGTTCAAATTCATATCTATGCATGCCTACTTAATACAATAGGGTTATCTCTGTAACGTCTCTTTGATAATTTTTTACCGTTGAGGTGTAATTTTAAAGCTAATGATCTAGTGGAGGGACAGATGGTAACTAAAAAGGTAATTCTTTTAAGGGCTTTGCATTTCTAGGGCTTGATATGTTTCTAGATTAGGTTTGTTATATTTCTTCGGCCTAGTTCATTTTTAATATAGTCCGGCAGCCAAATGAGGATTTTGTCCCTAACCTGGTTTTGTTCTATTAAGTTTTTTTTATTGTTGTTTTGAGTTATATAGGGTATGTAGACCATAAAACCACCGGATACTTTTTTGGTACCCTTGGGCAATAGCCGCCATCTTGGAAAATGGCGGAAAACGTAATTTACAGTGTAAGCTTTTACTTAAAACTATGTTTTGAAAATACCATGCTACCTACAGCACTGCAAACACTTTTAAAATACTCACAGTGAAATTCCATACAGGAAAATATCATATTTTAACTATATATTGTGTGTTTTAAAGCCAGTATTTCTTTTTAAAGTTAATCATTTAGATAAAAAATATGTTCTATCCCTACTTTTTTCAACTTTGTGCTAAAATCTCTGAAAAAAGGCCATGATACATGTTACAAAAGTTGTAGATCTTAAAATTGTGCATTTAATGCACCTATAGGGATCTTTGTTGGATCAATGATAACATCACAACAATGTGTAAAAAATAACTTTTATTTATTTTTTCTATGACAAAGAGGGGTATCTAATAAATGAAAATCATTTATATAATTCTTCCTAAGAATATTCTGTAGTTCTTTTCTACTGTTTTTGGTACCAAAATGCTCAATAAACCAATAGCTTTCATTGACGCTAATTATAATTCAAATCATAGGATGTAGCTAGTTATGGACCCCCCCCCCAAAAAAAGAGTAATTTTAGTTATAAAAAAGTCTCATCAAAGCCCTACCTATATCTTTAGTGATTATGTTATGTTTTATGTATTTATAAGAAAACAGTCGGTAACGTACTGGCTTTCATGGAAGATATTAATTATTGGGTTTCAAAAAATTTTAGGTATAGATCATCAATCAATAAATCAATAATTTTTCTTGTAATTTGTTGATTTGTAAATTGGGAATAGTCCGGCAACCAAACAGGGAATTTTCCTTGAACCCTCTTTTGTTCTATTACGTTTTTTTACTGATGATATTTTGTTTTAGTATATAGATGCAGAAAATAGCGGGTACTTACAATGTACCTTTGGGCATCTTCTAGAATTTGAGATAATAATTGTGAATATTAATAAATAAATCGATTAATTTAAAACATGGTAGTTAAGCTATAAACTATGCGTTTTTAGCTCGAATATCATGAAATTTTTTATGAAACCTCGTTATAATGTTACTCATAAATTGACCAGATATTAGCCATATCAAAGCTAAATTAAACTGGTGGTGGAAAACGTGGTTTTTATCTTAAAAATTGAATTTTTTGCCCAATTAAAAAAAAAACTTGTTATACGACCTTGTTTTAGTGTTACCTATAAGCGAACAAAATATAAGTTTTGCCAATTTAAACCTGAGCTTATATAAGTTACTAGCAAGATACATTGTTTACATCATTATTATGGCATGTAATAATAACACTCGATTTTGAAGTTAACTGAATTCCCGTAGCACTTGTGGCTATGCTTGTTAGTATTTGCGTTACATTGAAAAAATACAATAAGTTAACAAAATTAATAAAAGCGATTTCAACATAGTTGAGTTTTATAATTTTGTATTGTAACATAAATATTTTATTCATGTAAAGTTTTAACTTACATAATAGGCCTACATGGAGAAATAACTTGTAAATAACGTTTCAGTAACCTTAGTGACTATTAGCGATTTCTCTATAGGGAAGTAGCTATTACTGTAGGTCTCATGGTAAGACCTTGGCCCGGGACCCATTTACATCATTTTGATGTCCCCAGAGGCCAAAAACACTCTTTTGCTCAAATTTATATATATATATATATAAATTAAAAAATAGTTCATTCAAAATTCCATGTTATACTTACGGAGAATATTGTAAAACGTTTTAGTTGGTTTGTTTTTTTAATATTTTTATCAAACTTGGCAGATATATTTATTCCATACTAAGCTATTAATATTTTAATAAAAAATACACTTTATTAGTTTCCCTTTAGCAGCAAACCTAGGTACTCTTTAAACATAAATGTGAATTTAATAGATTAATTGAAAATCAATCCAGGCAAATGGAAATTTGCTTATTCGTCAGTTTTGCTGCAGCGGGGGTGTTAACTCATTATTCTACATTGTCGTAGTCTTGAGTTTGTATTTTTCTATTTCAACTGGTATTATATCCACAATGACAAAATACTATGCAAGGTAAGCCTGAGCTCACGCAACTACATATTTTTTAATTCTGTTCACTGGTGTATATCAAACGCAACAAAAAAGAAACTTGATAGGAATAAACCAGGTTAGGTTCATATCTGAGTTTACACATAGCTTACTGAGGTTTTCTTCACCAAAATGAATAACACAGCTCATTTAGATCTTGAGATATAGATCTTTAATAAAAGACAAACCTTAAAAATTTAAAACCTAATGTTAGTTAGAGGTCTACAACTCACCTTAAGCTCTACATATTTAAATGAAAATTGTCTCAAATGAAAGTGCTAAGTTGGCCTAGTGTTTTTAGACCAGAACGAATAACATAGTACACATAGCAGCTGAGAAATATGTCTTTAAATACAGAAGAAAGTTAAGAAAAACAACTTTTATTCTACGTTTAAGCTTATAACTCGCCCCAAACACGCCAGATTACAATAAATAATAGCTGAAAAGAACCGCATTAAATTACTGAGTATTCCCATACCACAACATACAATATCACGTAAAAATAACTTGAGACACAATCATTAACTAAAGATAAATTGTACAAAAAAAAATCAAATTTTTATTGTTTGGGGTCCACAACTCATGTTCAACTCAGCCGATTTTAATAGTCAATGGCTTGGATTAAAGCCAGTAACTCACTGAGTATTCATAGTATATAACATTTCATATAACGTAATTATAACCTGAGATAATATCTTAAATTAAAGACAAATCTTGGAAAAACTAAAATTTTATTTGGTTAAAGTTCTATAAATCCCCTCAAACCCGATAGATTTGAATGACCAATATGCCTCAAATGAAAGCCAGTAGTTTGCTGAGTATTTTATCATAAAAAAAAACATAACATCGCATAATCAGTACTCGAGGTAACAATATTTTTTTAAAAGAAAATTATACAACCATTAAAATCTTTGTTGGTTGAAGTCTTGTAATTCACCTCCGACTCGTTCGATTTCAGTGATCTACATGTCAAATGGATGCCAATTGTTTACTGAGTGTTTTTATTGCAATACATACAACATCTAATAATAATAACTCAATGGGTTGGTCAAAATTTAAACCTTTCTTTTTGAAAAAATATTGTTTCTTTGGAGTGAAGATGAAAAGATCGGCCTTAAAGACCTTAAATATAAACAGTTAATAGTTCAAATTAAATTTGGTAATTTTACAAACATTTTAATACCAAAAACAGCCAGAGAGAAGTGGCGGGTGGTCTCAGGAAAGATGTTACAATTTTATTGAACATATAAAATATCCTTATTTTTTATTGAAAATCAATAAAAAAATTATTTTCTAACGCTTTGTTCTGGCGTTACCCTTGATCCAACAAAACATCCCATAGATGTATTCGATGCTAAATCTAAAGCTCTACAAACTTTATAATATATATTATAGTCATATTTTGAGTATTTAAGGCGCAAAATTGAAATAAAAATAAATATGACATTATTTTTTTTTTTTAATTATAAACTTTGAAAAGTAATACTGACCTTAAAACAAATTATATATATTTAATATATGGTATTTCTGAGTAGGGAATTTAACCATAATCATTTTAAAATAACATGCATTGTTCCATCTTAAATAGTTTTTTTATTACATTGGTTTAAGTAAAAGCTTACACTGTAATTTACGTTTCCCGCCATTTTCCAAGATGGCGGCTGTTGCCCAAGGGTACCAAAAAAGTACCCGGTGGTTTTAGGGTCTACTTACCTTAGATATCACATATCAACAATAAAAAAAACTTAATAGGACAAAACCAGGTTCGGGTCAATTCTGCCGGACTAATAGTTTTAATACTTGTCCTGCACATTCAATATTCTTTATTGAAGGACAACCCATTTCACTAGATTAGCCTACAGTAATGTTTTGTGTGTGTTCTAAGACTATCAGAAAGCATCTTATAATCGAGAGATCCCAAAAAAAAAACTCGAACAAAACACGGCAAAAAAACAATGACAATAAAATGAACAGTATGTGTAACAAAACAAGTACATAGTGAGATTTACACATTTCATTACTACTAGATTACACAGAACTGTGTTGCCATTATATCTCAAGAGCATGGAAGTAAAATCAACTAGAACAACTACATTGACTTATTTAAATTTTAAAATGGTAGGGGATTATTTCATTTATGGTAGGGGAGGGCTGTTGCTCAATTGGGGGGGGGGGTTGCGTTGCGTCATGAGTCTAGGGGGGATGGGCACCCCTGCAAAACAGTTTAACTTACAATCCAAATACTTTTTTTAATACTTTTTGATGAAACGGCGACCATACAAAGTAGGTATTTTAAGCCAAGTATGAATGGAGATGATTGTAGGATGAGTCTTTGTAGGATGATCTTGTAGTCTTGTTAGTGACTAAGGCCGACATATTCCTTAGACACAGCTGTTAATTAATAGCCCATACAGCTAATGGCAACTAAGGGACCTACAGTTTATACTGGAATCCGAACCACATTTTTGCCTTGATATATACGAATTGGTCTAATTATCAGTATAGTACTGCAGATAGTCATAGTACTCACTCGTGCGGACGTTAATCCTTACCAGAAAGTATTGCATCCACAGTGCATACCTATAAATATCCACAATTCGTGGACCTAGGTATTTGTTAAACCTAATATTTAAATATGGAATAAATCTGACATAATTTAGTTTAAGATTTTGGTAAATACTGTTAACACTGTTAATACTTTTAATACTGTTCAATGAAATGGCGACCATACATAGTAGGTATTTTAAGCCAAGTATGAATGGAGATGAATGTAGGATGAGTGGCGCGATCTTGTAGTCTTGTTAGTGACTAAGGCCGACATTCCTTAGACACAGCTGTTAATTAATAGCCCATACAGCTATCAGCTATAATTAAAAATGCTATCAGACAATTTTAAAATTTGTAACTATGTACCTACAATTTGGAAATTGGTTTGCTGAGATTTTGGTATTGTTTTATTTTTTTACTACCAGAAATTAAAGGGAAAATTGGTTAAGGGGAAATATACAGATTTTCTCTGCAAAATAGAGATATTTTGATTTGATTTTATATTATTAGATTGATTCATATTTTGGGTAACTCAATGCCATTTTAAGGCTAGCCTTACCAGATGGAGTCAGCTTCATAAAGCTTTTTGTGATAATAATCAAGAAGTATTTGTTTATTGTAAAACGATTTTAGTTTTTTTTTTTTTATTATGAATGTTTACGTTTCAGTGGTGCTGTGCCTGTACATGCCTGTGGTGGTGGGGGGATACTTCGTCTATGGAGACAACATCGATGACAACATCGTACAGTCAGTTAGTCGGGGGATGTTTGTCTCGTTCGCCAACATCCTGATGGCCGTCCACCTCATCCTGGCGTTCTTCATTGTTGTCAACCCCGTTTGTCAACTCGTTGAGAACGTGTTTGAAGTGCCTCATGGTAATTATTTTAAGGTTTCAATTTATAATGCTGAGAAAGAAAAATAATGCACTAGAAATAATAAAAGATTTATGTTGATTTGTTTGATTAATTATGTTAAGTATAAATAAATTGGTTGCTATTTGTAGATATTTTAAGGTGCTGAATGTTTTTATGGTAAAGGAAAGAAACAGGATTAAATTACCTTTAATTTTTTCACAATCCAACTTTAAATGTGCATTATTAAAACTGGTCTATGAAATGAACTTAAGACGATGAACACTTTTCACACTTTTTGTCCTATTAGTTATCAGTTCTTTTTTCATGAAAATGCTTTACTAACTATACTGTTAAGTTAGTGAATCAACAGTACACAATAACACATAAGTAATGTACACAGAGTTCTGCTACAAGCGGTGTGTGACTCGCTCCCTGATGGTGCTGCTCATGGTGGTGGTGGGAGAAACTATCCCCAAGTTTGGCAAGATCCTTTCACTAGTCGGAGGGTCGACCATCACACTCACTACGTTCGTGCTGCCACCGTTGTTCTACATGCGGCTTTGCGACCAGAAGAACGTTGAGTGGCCCGAAAAGTAATGATTTTATTGTTTTGTTAGTTTTTTCATCAGTAGAAGTTCCTTTATCACTTCATTTACATGTTTTTGGTTCTATTTTTTTATTTGGGTTTTTTATACTGTGATTCTGTTCACAATTTTGTTTGCTTTCATATAGCCAAAATTTATATTTCAAGGTGACAACAGACCAGGTAACTTATTCCAGTAAAGTTGGGAATAATTCTTGAATTGGTTGTACTGTACTTGGGAAAAACTTTGAATTATGTGTGAATTTTTGTGATTTTAGTTATTTTTTGTTGTAATATTTAAGATGAATTTATGATTGAACACCTACAAAAATTGTATTTACTTGCATTAACACACTAAACGTTCATGAAACTCCCTTACTTACTTACTTTCTGCTGTGGCCACTGGTGCCCCAAATGGTACTTGGCCTCAATGTCATGAAAAATGGTACCAAAAGTCATGAAACTCCCTTAGGAAATGAAAATCCTGACTGTTAAAACATCACAGTCAACTTGTCATCCGTGATCATAGCAAACTCGAGAACATTTCTGTGGTGAAAGGAAAATTGTAAACATCTTCCTAAATCACTGCAAAATCTTAAACACCTCCCTCAGTCTCAGCGAGATTGAGACCATCTTCAGAGGTCATGGTGAGATTGTAGGTATTATCTGCGGTAACAACAAAATCGTGAATGTCTCTCACAATAATGGCAATAGCAATGAGCACATCTTCTACCATCGTGGTGAAATCATGACCATCTTCTGAGGTAACGGCAAATTCGAAAGCCATTGCAAAAATCATGACCGTCTTTTGTGGTACGGTAATTCCGAAATCGTTAAAATCTTTCCAGGTTACTTCTAAATCTTGAACATCTTCCGTTGACACGGTTATATCATTGTCTCCCTTGATGGTGTCAAAACTGTGAACGTAACTTTTATGTATGTTTTGAAACCAAAGGCATTTATTTGCGTTTTTCATAAGGGAACGGTCAAAACCCTGGGCTTGCAGCAATCTAACGTTTACCTTTTGTTACCTGGCATCTAGGTCCAGTAAGGATCTTGCTTTAAATCGAACCAACGTAGACTGTAGCAACTTTTATGTCACATCAACTGTCACAACAACAAAAATTAGGAGGAAATACAATTTAGAGTGTATAACTATGTGAGTGGTTCATTCTATGTCTGTTTGAATGAAAATTAAATTTGCTACAGTTAGTTCATATTTGTCTACTCATACTCTTGATTAGATGTCTACTTCCAATTGTCAAAGCCTTATATCTAACTGTGGTTTCTCTACTTGCAGGACTATCCCTATGCACATGAGAGTGTACATGTGGGAGCTGATTATCATAGGGGTGGTGGGGGGAGCGTTTGCTACGTACAGCGCCGTTCAGTCGATCTTCTCTGCGGACTCAATCACCAAGCCATGCTATTGGCCGTACTAGCGATCCCTCTTGCAACACATTCTCAATTCAACAAGAATCGAGTGAGATTTCTAGACTATATTAAGTATAACAATGAGTGGAGTGAGTTAAAAACTAAATTATTTTTAGATCAAACATCAGTAAAAGTCAATCTTGATCTGTTGGTCTAATCAGTATCAATACTTATTTTACTCAAAAACTCGTAATTTGATGGAATTATGTTTATACTGATTTTACACTTGAAAAATGTAGAAAGAGAGTTTTTATCTTGGTTCCGCGTCAAGCTTATCGTAATTGGTAATGTTGAGGCGTAGGTACTAATTGAATTACATGATTAGTTCTATACAAAAAACACTATGCAGTAGTTCGCTCTCGATAATCGTACAATACTTTTATGTTCTGTTGTGCCAATAAATATGAATGTCACGGTTTGAAAACAGAAAACAATTTCACAACGCAATGAAAAGCAAAAAATATTCTTCAAGTATAGTAACTAAAATTTAAAAAGTGTATTTGAAATTCTTATTTACTTTTGTTACAAAAATTTATCTGCATAACATAACAAGGTTTTACGTAATTTCATACCCGAGTCCCGAAACGGTATGCTAACTTTGTTTTACTAATATAAATTGTCAGCAGTAATTTACTAAATAATATCAATGATCTGTATACTGGACAACCCCCAAACTTGACTACCTCTGAGTCCACAAATTGGCGAGTTAATGAGGTTTTACATGCAATTACACTGATCAATTTTAATCAAATAAGTAAGAAGGTCTAACATATATACTGTTATTTACTCACTCCGATATTTGTTATGTAATGGTTGCATTTTCAATTTTTTAATTGAAACATGTTATTGTCGATAATTAATTTAAGTCAGTATTTAATGCATTGTCATTTTAAATGCATGTGGTCTTGGTTTCATGACAAATAATCATACGCTCGTGAATATTGAAAATATAAGAAGTATTTTATATTGTAATATTTATTTTGTTTTTCTATTTGAATTATACTATTTTAGAACAATAAGTAGGTATGGTTTTAGTATAACTGTGATTTAAAGCTTTAGAAATATCTAAAAGATGTTTGGCTTCAAAAGTTTAAAAAAAAATACTTAAATAAATTAGTATTGTCAGATTTTACTTGGAACAATACATTAACTTTACATTATACTTTGTATTTTCCACTTTTAATCTATGTTAAGAAATACATAGTGTTTCAAAATGAATATAGTATAATAGAGTGAAAATTCTTTACTGAGTGCTGTTGTTGCTGTTTTTTTAGCCAGGATCATTTATTTAAAGACCAATGATCAGGGATAGCTGGTCAAATTTGAACTATCTTTTCTCTGAAATGAATGCACAACCTTTTGATTGGCAGAAGAGCACTGTAATAACTTATTAATACATTATAATATAACTTCTCTATGTAAAGCTTCAAAACAATATTCATTTTGAAACACTGACGTAAAAAACCATAATGTGTGTTAAAGAATTATTGTTTTTATGTTGTAATCAATGTAATTAATGAGTAACCTATATAATGTGATATCTGTGATAATGCACTATCTAGCAAAACTATTCTCTGTTCATTCTTGATTGTAGCAAGGAAACAAATAATTTACAGCAGGCTACCAATGGAGAAATGTATTTTTATATTTTATAATTTTGTGTTATTGTTTGCAACACTGAGTACAATTAGCCACTAGAAGCTTTGTAAGTTTTGCATTAATTTATGTTAGATAATTTCATGTAGTATATTTTTCCCACAAATCTGCTTTTACTTCTATTATCATATCGTATTATCTCCCTCAATAATAAATTGAACGATTTTGAAAAAAATGACTGCTTGATTGCTATTTAGTTCTGTATCAACTCACTAGGAAATTGTATTTTTGTCTTTGTTACTTTTATTATCAGGGCCGTATCTCCCTTGGCGGTTGCCAAAGGCCTCGGCCTGGGAAGGGATATCATTAAGGGCTTTTTTTCTTTAAAAGTGAATTTCACTGATAACCTATCAGGGGTTTGATTTTTGATCTGAGCTTTTAATTCTGTGATCAATGAAAGCATCTACTAAGGTTTCTGACAGAAAATTTTACCACGATCGCAAGAGACAATGATAAAACCTCCTTGACCGCAAAAGATATTCATGATTTTTGCTGCCACAGGAGACGTCCATGATTTTGCTGTAATCTTGGGAGGCAAAGATAATGTCACTGCAAACTTGAAAAAAAATCACGATTTTCTCGTGACCTAAGATTTCATTATCAATTTCATTTGTTTTTAATTTTTTGCCGTGGTTGTAGAAGTCGTTTGGACTGATTATAGAAATAATGAATAGTTTCCAAAGCACCCGACCCGACCTTTTTTGGCCTTAGATCTGAACATTTTGAAAGGTTTGTCCTACAGACCCCTAATATTATTATTATAAAATTAAATGCAACTATTTAATTAGCTAGTCTCCTAGGCCTATCGCTAATCAGATTGTCAAAAACCATGGGTCGAGTTTAAGTAATACTATTTTTTATTCTTATCCCTCTCTAAGAATCAGAATAGAGGTGCCTCTCAGCTGGTGTGAGGTGCTGGGGGCCTCATAGATTCTACATACGGCCCTGTCTATTCTGCTGTGTACAGTTTATGTCTCATTGTTATTTTTTCCTATTTCTCTTGGTATTTGATCTAATTTACTTCCATATTAGTTTATCGGCTACTGATGAAAACTACATCCAAATGCTTGTTGTTTCCATATGTTTCCATTAATTTAAACTATAAAAAAAAGTATAAATTTTATTAGTCAAAGAATTTTCTAGGTATAAAAGGTTTTGTTATTAAACGTAAGATATTTTTTAATTCCTTCATAAAGTATAAAATATAAAATAAAGAGTAAGAAAAAGTCTATATTGACCGTTTTACAAATATAATGATTTTAAAAGATTTTTCCATATTATAGAGCTTTGTATGACTTTTTTAAAACTACTTAGAAGTAGAATGTTTGTATTGTGGTTCTGGAAACTCTAAGTTTCTTGTTGTTACAACGTAATGAAACTGAATGCCTTACAATGTGATGAGTCATTGGGTGGCCTTGATCCAAGGTATATTTAGGGTTTAGGGTTGCTTAAATTTAATGAATGAATAAAGTTTAAGTAAATGTTGGTAGTAAATATTTTATGCTTTGTAAAAAGTAGATTGTCCCCAAAGTATATATGTTACTTTAAAAAAAAATTTGCCAGTACATCCCAAAACAGTTACTTGTTTTATAAGTTGTACATTTGAAAATCTGAATTAAAATGTGAGTATGTGCAATTAGTTTACACTTTTTGACCTTTATTACTTGTTTTATATTGTTTTAGTAAAAATGGCATTCCTTAAAGGCAATTTTTATGTAGATTTTTAAGTTTATGTCGGTTTTTAAGTTTGAGCACTTCAGTTTTAACTAATTTTAATATTTTTGATGTATACTCTTAAAACTGCTCAGTGGTGTATCACTGTTTAACCAAATAAATTAAATGTTATGACGAATTATACAAAACATTCATTTACACCTATTTTACCAATTTGTTAGTTAGATCACCAATGCTTTGAAGGATATAAAATACCCAAATATTTATTCACGACTTTTTAATTTGCCCATGCTTCACATCTGGGTGAAAACACGAAGATAAGAATGTACCTAAAGGCGGCTCCAGACATGCGCCATTCGCCAAGCACAAAATATTTGACATTCGGCGATCTAGATGTCTTGCTATTTGCCGATTAACGAGCAGACGTCTGTCTACTCACACATGTATTGTTATCCGAGCAACTGTTTGTTTTGGGGATAACAAATATTTGTTCACTTTGATGTGTGCAAAATACCGACAATGAACGGAAAACACAAGCACGAATGTTTGCTGCTTGCCAAATAGACAAACACCTATCCACCTATCCGATTCGGCGGTGCTTGGCCAATGGCGCATGTCTGGAGCCGCCTTAAGCTATTTGGAAAGTGACCTCTATTTGGTCATTGTACGAAAAATTACGGGTGTCGTATAGAAATGAGTGGCAGATCAGTCAGTGGCCATCTCCAGTTGTGATAAGCTCCAAGGTTGAAGGATCCTTTTCAGAATGTACAGTGTTACAAACAAAATATGAGACAAAATTGAAAATCCCATTGGGAGAACACATCCTGGGGATGAATAATCATAAGGAAATCACTTCTGAATTTTACTGTAATGGATGTCCCACGGTGAAGAAAATGGTAATTTTTTGTGTTACTAGTGTGCAAGTGGCACTTTGCTGCACACAAGAGGAATGTTTACGCACGAGCCTAAGGCGAGTGTGAAAAGTTTCTCGAGTCCAGCAAAGGCAATTTGCACTCGTGTTACACATTATATTTCTTCTACAGTAATTATAAAGCATATAATTAATTAGTCTTACAAACACTATACTACCTACACGTTTTAGATTAGTTTAAATTCAAGCGTTGAACGAAATGAGTTTAAGTTTTGCCAACCTATCTCCAAGCGTACACGGATTACGTCCATGATAAAAGCACGCTGTTTTGTGCTGTTTGGTTGGAATACTGGTGTGCGGGAAAAGTAAGTAAAAGCAGCAATCTGCAACTTTCTGTACTATAATCAGTGCAAGGAAGCCCGCTTTGTCAGATGACTGTAGGAAAAGAAATTTCTATATGCTGCTTCACCTCATTTACATGATTGAAAATACCTATAATGTTTTGAAAATAAACTTCCATTAAAAGATTGATAGATAGATACTCTGTTCAAAGGTAACCATATCCTATCACCGCTATATCGGTCAACTGATCTTCATTGATGGAACAGTTTACCTAAATAAGTAAATCAAAATGTATTTAAAATTAAGTGTTTCTCAGATTTCATCTATCCAGCTCGTGTAAAACTACAAAACAAATTTCACTTCAATATGGCTTTTAAGTTTACATTTGAATAAATTTAAGTATGCTCATTGAAGCTGTTTGCCCTTGGTATTATACAGTAAAACGCAAGACTGTAATGTGCTATGTCATTTTTTCCAACTTCCTGATGAACCCTCAAATCGTCTTGTTAAGTAGTTCCAAAGAGAAATTCTACAAAACTGAGATTTTGTGGCAGAGGAACTGTCGCTTTCGAGAAAAGTGACGACTATAAAAAGTAGGCTACATTACGGGTACTTGAAAAGGTAAAATTGTCTGAATAAATTGTTATTTTTAATGGTGATTCCCCCATAACATACGGTAAAATCGGAATTTTACAAAAATAGCCTGAATGATTTTGATTAAAATTTAAAATGTAGTACCGTATATGGTATAGCCCTTTCAACTCTTCACAGATTGGTACACATCCCATTGCTGTCAGAATTACGGTTTAAAAGTGATTGTAATATTTGATTTTCCTATAAAAAAACATAAATTAACAAACAAATTGGATTTTCAATAAAAAATAGAGAGTCCATTGTAGAGTAGCCTGTATATTTTGATTAATTTTATTATGATATAGTCCACTGTCCTCATAATTCCAAACAAAATGGTACAATCCCCATTGGTGTAAAATTTACGGTTCAAAAGTTATTGCAACTTATGTGATACCTGAACTTTATTATTTATGAATGATCTTCCATTTACCTCTTCAAAATTCTTCTATGAGTAGTTAAATAAATGCCTAATGTATCTTTAAACGTTTTGTTTTTAATCATCGTGTTTATTATTCAGCCAATAATTTAAAAAACTAAAGTTGTTTAAGTCAATCGCTTAAACTATGTAAGTTGTAATATTACTCCATTTAAACATAAGTGAATGGTATTTTATATAGTAAGTTTCCTTTTTTTGTCTGTCATTTTGTGTCATTGCAATGAGTTTGAGAGAAAATGTAGATGGCACTGTTTGTTTGTTTAACCTTACCTAACAGAATACATTTTGCATACCAATTCCTAAGTTTACTTAAAAAACAATTTAAAACTCTTACTGCCAATCACATCTATTGAACTCTGATCATTTGTTTCCAATACAATCAATACCGATTAACCATCGCCATGATAGGACGCAACTTGTCGTGATTGGTAGCAGGCAGGTGTGGTGTAATGGAAAGTGGTTGTCCTCACTATCAGCTGATTTAATTAGCAGTGAAATAACAGAAGGGCAACAATGTAACAGCTGATCGATTGTTGGGCATTGACCTCTGTATGGCAACCACCACAACAAACTTTAACCTCAGTCAGATTTCAGTGCACTACAGACCACGGTACAGTCAACACCGCAACGTACAGGTTGTTATCAGATTTTAAAATGCTGAGATGTTTAATTTATTTTTTAGTAGCGTTGCAGGCCTACACATATGCTTTTTGTAACAGATTAAATGTTTTATTGATCAATTTACGAAGATTATAAGTTAGTACACTTTTGTAATTTATTTAGTAGCTTGGTGAAGCCTTTGCAGTCGTTTTTAACAAAATTAACTATTTGTTGATTGACGTTTTTTTCTATTTTTTATTCATATATTTATTGATGTACGACTGTCACTTTCTTATTCTTACATTTTACAATTTATATATAAGTTAGTATAATTATATTTCTGTTTAAGCATTTAGGCAACCTTTTAGATTTGTATTTTACGTTTTACTAAAACTTATCATTGTTTGAAAGAAATCCCACGTAATATTATTTAAGTCTGAGTAACTTGCTTTCCTTGTTTACACAGAAATAAGCTAAAAGTTAAATTTGGTTCTTATTTATTTCCAAACAAATTTTACAAGTCGTGGCTAGTACCGTACCCATAGAAAACTACTACTATAACCGCTAGTACCGCGCGCCGACGAAAAACAAAAATTCTGATTGAAAAACCCCTGAACAAGTTTTTTAGTCCAGTGCAATTAGGTTATGACCCAGACAAAATTGATAACAGGCTGAAAATTGGTGGAAATGTTCAAAACAATGTCCTAAGTGGCCCACACAAAGTCCCAAGAAATCCCAGTTGGGGAACGGCCGCCATCTTGAAAAAACTTCCGCCATCTTGGAAATTTAGATTTCTTGCTATATCTTTTGAAGTAAATGTCCGAAAGACCTTATTTACGTCTCAAATTAAACGTTTTGGACTTATGTATGAGGATAATATATAATTAAAGAGTTTATTATGTTCTAAGCATTCATTTTATTTATATTAACCTAAAAAATATCTATAATAATGATATAGATACGGTTATGTCCCCCATTTTATACGAATTGTGGATATTTATAGTCATGCACGGTGGATGCGATGCTCCCTGGTGTGGATTAACGTCCGCACTAGTGAGTACTACGACTATCCGCAGTACTATCCTAATAATTAGACCAATTCGTTAATTACAAGGAAAAAATGTGGTTCGGATTCCACTATAAACTGTAGGTCCCTTAATTGCCATTTGCTGTATGGGATATTAATTAACATCTGTGTCTAAGGAACATGTCGGCCTTAGTCACTAACAAGACCACAAGATCGCGCCACTCATCCTACTCATCCTTCACTCATGTTTGGGTAAAATACGCTCATAGGGGCGTTTCCATCTTAAATAATTAATATAAATATACAAAATAAGCTTTTTCTATTTTTTTCGTAATGGACTTGTTTAAGCCATTAACCCTATTGCAATTTCTTGCACCCCACAATGCTTAGTCTTTGGAATTGGTTAAATATAAATATAATATCCAATTAACGATGATAAAGCTTTAAAGAGGAGACAACTAATATAGCTCATGCAATAGGTAATATTGCTGCAGCTATAGACCACGATTTTCATATTGCCCCTGCTGCTCGAGCTTCACAGACGGTATGGCTCGAAGTTGCCGTTAAACATTCTATCGTAGCTTGGAGTTTGCTCGACATACAAGAAGGTCGTCAATTATGAGACTTCGATAGCTGATAATGTCTTACCTTCAATAAATTACGGAACTTACGTTCAGTATGTTTTCAACAACGCGGATTACAACTTTAAAACACTTGATGGACATGGAACTCTTCACGCCATTGGTGGATATCACCAGTCGAAATGTGTCAATGCAAATGCTCCTGTACCACGATCTACAATCCCAAAAGCAAAAAGTGTCCTTCTATCTCATGGCTTTCAGCCATTGACACCTTACCAACGTCTGCCTAAGCCTGGGACATCTTTCGTAGTGTTGGGAGTTGTCAGTATATCCCTTTCCAAACCAAAAATAGTTGTAGATGCTTGTCTTGCTGACACCCTATGGCTCATTAACTACCAACTGAGTAACAAACCAAGTCCAGGTTGGAATGGATTCATGGAAACAGTACAACAACCCTTATGGTCTTAATTGCACCACGATGCATGGATGTATTGATGCATGGAGGGTTTGCTATTTCATCTTTAACCAAAATGGTAGCCCGTCAAACATTATGGAAAATCAGTAGTAATATTGGTTCGTAATTGTAATGGCTACCATTTTGGACAAAGGAGAATACTCAAAGATTTTAAAATCATAAAATGAAACTTCCTGCTAAGGTTGCATGACCACCAAAAGGATTACT